AGACTGCCATGCCCGCAGACGTCGCTTCTGTAACGGTCCTTGATGTCCGGCCGGCCGCGGCAAACGCTGCCCTTGGCCTCCCAGCTGTCGATCAAGAGAGGCGGCAGCGCTATCAAAAACGGTCACGGGGCCAATGCAGGGGATGCCTTCTTGCATCCAAGGCGGGAGACCCTGCGACAGAAAGCGAACGTAGATGATGGTCGCGGACGCGGGCTGAACAGCCTTCAGCTCTGAGCGCAGACACTGATGCTGCGATAGCAACCATGAACATGCGGAAGGCACAGTCTTCCTTCACAGCTCCTTCTGGAACCTTGTGCGCGAAGTGATCCTGCTTCCTTTCTGTAAGATCCGGCATGTCCAATTCGCTCCAGCAGCCTTTGTCACCCGACGCAGTGGTTCCTCGACAAAATGAATGCCTGCCACCTCCCTGAGCTCAGCAACCAGGGCTGGCGTTGCGTTCGTGTGCCCTGTCCCCGGAAAGTTCAGGAAAACGGCATGCTGTCGCTTCTTCACCATGGTGCTTGCTGAGTCGCAGGGTGTCTTCACGGACTTGCTTCTGCCAAACATCCTTGGTGCAACTGTGTATCCACGCCGGTGTGTTGCTGAGTGCCCGCATGTGCCGAGAAAGCGAAGATTGATCCTACTTGCAACAAAAGGCTGCCCATTGAATGCAGCTTCCAGGTATGGATCGGATGGAATGCTTCAAGCTTTAGCAAGGCACTGCCGGCCTTCCTCGCATGTTCAGGAAAACGACATGCTGTCGCTTCTGCACCACGGTGCTTGCAGAGACGCAAGGTGTCTTCACGAACTTGCTGCCGCCAAACATCCTTGGTGCAACGGTGTATCCACACTGGTGTTTTGCTGAGTGCCCGTATGTGCCGAGAAAGCGAAGATTGATCCTACTTGCAACAAAAGGCTGCCCATTGAATGCAGCTCCCAAGTATGGATCGGATGGAATGCTCCAAGCTTTAGCAAGGCACTGCCGGCCTTCCTCGCAAGTTCAGGAAAACGACATGCTGTCGCTTCTGCACCACGGTGCTTGCAGAGACGCAAGGTGTCTTCACGAACTTGCTGCCGCCAAACATCCTTGGTGCAACGGTGTATCCACACTGGTGTTTTGCTGAGTGCCCGTATGTGCCGAGAAAGCGAAGATTGATCCTACTTGCAACACAAGGTTGCCCGTCGAATGCAGCTCCCAGGTATGGATCGGATGGAAAGCTTCAAGCTTTGGCATGGCACTACCGGCCTTCCTCGCAAGTTCAGGAAAACGGCATGCTGTCGCTTCTTCACCATGGTGCTTGCTGAGTCGCAGGGTGTCTTCACGGACTTGCTTCTGCCAAACATCCTTGGTGCAACTGTGTATCCACGCCGGTGTGTTGCTGAGTGCCCGCATGTGCCGAGAAAGCGAAGATTGATCCTACTTGCAACAAAAGGCTGCCCATTGAATGCAGCTTCCAGGTATGGATCGGATGGAATGCTTCAAGCTTTAGCAAGGCACTGCCGGCCTTCCTCGCATGTTCAGGAAAACGACATGCTGTCGCTTCTGCACCACGGTGCTTGCAGAGACGCAAGGTGTCTTCACGAACTTGCTTCCGCCAAACATCCTTGGTGCAACGGTGTATCCACACTGGTGTTTTGCTGAGTGCCCGTATGTGCCGAGAAAGCGAAGATTGATCCTACTTGCAACACAAGGTTGCCTGTCGAATGCAGCTCCCAGGTATGGATCGGATGGAAAGCTTCAAGCTTTGGCATGGCACTACCGGCCTCATTTACCGCTGCCCCTGCCACTGCTAACGTTCATGTATCTCGGACATCTCACGGAAACAGCAAGACCAGCCTTGAGAACGAATCCTTTGCTTCCGACGATCTCTCTTGCACGGATGCCAGCGAAGGAGTGCTGACCCTGCCTGGGGAAACGCCAAGGCGCGCATGATGCATAGATCACAAACTTTTTGGTGCACAGGCCTGGGCTTGAGGAGGGTTTTTCAGGTGCGGCCTTGCTTCCGGAGCGCAGGTGGCCCGATTGCCCTACTGTAGCACGCCAGCTGCCTTGCAGATTTCGTCGCTTCTTGTAAGAAAAACCCAGCAAGCGAGATCGGCAACGAAAAAACAGTCCGGAAAAACTGGCAACAGCACTGCTGGCTACGAGCTTGTTCAAAGCAGTGCAAGCCCAGTCGATACACGATGAAAGAAGTATAAACTTCTGGTGCTCATGCCCGAGCCGTGCAGAACTAGTAGGCTCGGTACTGAACGCTGGCGTGGCCTTGCTTGAGCACAACTTTGTCTTCTCAAATCTTCTCGACGAGCTGTCGGAATGCTTCGCAGAGAGCGAGCGTGACGAATACAACTTGGGCGCGGGAGCGTCCCGTGCGGCCCTAGCATTGCAATATCTATGCAGGCTGCACCCGCGGAATCAGCAATCGTGTGCGAGCACGCCCACATGCAGACGATACGCGCTCTACGCAAGCCTGTGACTGACAGCAGCAGGATGGCAGGAATGAGGCCCTGTGATTTCCGTGAATTAATTCGAGACCGGAACTCAAGCAAAATGGGGCATGCGTCCGAAAGAACAACAGAGTTTCCCGAAAGAAAAACAGAGTTTTTCTATGTTCCCTGTGCAGTTCTGTTGCAATTCGCGAATCTCTAGCCCTTCAAGTCTCGCTAAAATCTATCGCCTCGCCTGTACCCAATGCACGATACGAGTACCAGCTGACTGTCACTCTGAAACTGACTGGGAAGAGCTGCACAGCTCATGCCAAATGCACACATGCCTTCGAAGGCAGACGACATGAAACGAGGCCTCCGGCTGCAAGGCAGCCACGACCGAAGACGTGCCTCGTGATGCGCCAAACCCCATCAAGGAAATCACCTCTCGCCGCGCTAGCCTGCTGGGGTCTCACGGAAGGGCACCTAGGGCACCTGTCGCTCGACGGCAGTCCACCGTGAAAAGACAAATCAGACAAATGGGGAATGCAAACTGCTCAGGGTTGCTAGGATAGCTGCATTGGGAGCTCTGGAACGATGGGAGCTATGCAGGCCAAAGCACTGACTTTGGGACCTTGGGCCAACGCCAGAGCTATGCATCGCGGCTGTCTAGACTGGCTGCCTGCTGTCTGACAGAACAGTTCCTGCAAGCATGGTAGCTACTACGTTCGTTGCTGAAAGCATCGTCAACGGAACGCCTGGAAGGCAAGCTGTACAAGCTTGCCTTCGACCAGAATGGAAAACGCGCAATGCGCTCTTACTGCGGTTGGAGCCGCGAGCCTGAGGCCCGCTGCAGCACATCACAGCCACGGTGCCAGCGTGTCTTGGTATATGTCTAACGAAAACCTGAGGAAGTGCAGTTCTTCACTCTAGGACTCTAGGCGTGTCCCCATGCCCGTAGACATGGCAGCTAAGGCATATAGAGGGAGAGCAGTGTCCGCTTGGTCGGGGCAGCCTGGGACTTGGCAGCCTTGTAGCGAATCTCTGGCACGACCGAGCTATTCATGGCAGCACTTCGGGAGCCAACTCTGGAACAGTGTCGCAGTGAAGGAAACTATCAACATCGGTCTTGACATTCTGCCGGGACGGAATCAGTCGTAACAGGCACCGGACTGAGTGCCGCAAACGGTCGGGGACTGAAGATTGCGCAGGATTTCTGCGAGCCACACACCCCATGGAGCATTGCCGCCTGTGGTTGACGGCATGCTACTCCCATCTGGCATCCTTTCTTCAGTTCAGAACACAGCACAGTAGTGGTGGAACTTTCAAGTAGATCACTTTGTCATGTCTCAATGCTCTTGAAGCCAGTCTTGCAGATGGACTCTTGGCAGCAAAGCTTGGAGCCAACAAGGACTGACATGCTTCGCTTGGTCGGCACTACTGGCGGCTTGTCATCAGTGCGATACTTGGTGTTGAACGAAGCTTTACAAGCTTTACAAAAAGTGCCAGCATGGGCACCACCAACGCCAATGCTTGTCAGCCGAAGGAGTAAGTCTGCGACTCAGCCAAAAGATCGACGATGCTTGTACTAATGCACCTCCGCGGCCGTTCCAGAGAAAGCCTTCTCTGGACAGGCAGGGCGATGACATCCGTTCCACAACTCAGCGTGGACGTGTTGACTGAGTCTGGACTGTCAAGCAAGCAAACCGTCGATGCATATTGGCACCCAACGTCGATGTTGCCACCAAAAGCCGCCGGCCCAAATGACGACTTCAATCTCAGAGAACTGGCAGCTCCAGAACACATCATGTCAACAACCACGGGAAACGGTCACGAGTTCAAATTAATTCTGCGCGTGATCGCAAGTGTTGGGACGAAGTAGAACGGAGCTCAATGGCTCAATTAAGACGCTCTGAGCACGATGACTCACACGACACAGTGTCGTGCTCTTTGAACTGCCTTCCGAGGATGAGTGCAGTGCCTTGGACCTAGGCGACAGAATCCGAGCCGTGCAGCCTGGGCCTGGGACCGCCGCTGAGCGAACTTCTGGGCAAGAATCTCCAGGACGGTTTGGACGGTGGCGGGACTGCACATGGCTGAGTGAGAACTGGCGGAGATTCTTGAATGGGTCTCTTTCAGAGGCGTCAGGTCAAGGTGAGAATCGCCATGCTTGCTCTTACCCGGACTTTGGCAATGCCCTTTACGTTCCTGAGAGCTCTACACCGTTGCTGCTCCTTACCCCCGTGCATCTCTGCGCCTACAACACCAGCACACCCGTTCGCAAAACCATGGTGGACTGAGATGACATCACCTCAAGCAATCCGTGCTGCCTCAGAATGCGCTAGTTGGAGGGGAGATCTGGACCAAGCAGTCAAGAACAGGAAGAGGCCGCTGGCTTTAGACTTTGCGTCTCCTCCGCAGGCAAGACAAAAGGCGAGGCTGGTGGCGGAAACCCGGCAGCCGCAGGTCTGCCGCTCTCAAACCTCTGTTTTGCCACGCAAAGCCTCTTTTCTTTGACTCACATTTCTCACATTTGGGGCACAGGCTCCTGTTAGGCTGCAGCCCTTTGGCTTGCATTAATTAAGAAGTGGTGAAACAAGAAGGCCGCAGAGGTCGTCGCAGGTGGAGATGACACAGTGGTCACCTCTGACACGCTTGCTGAGACCCCGCAGCGAGGAGACAGACTGGACACAGAGGTCCGCTGAAGACGGCACCAGGAGTAGGGCTGGTATGCGGTCGGCATAGGAACGCCCGCTCTTTGCAAATAAGCGACCGTCTATAAGTCTTGTGTCGAAGCAGATCGTGGGTGGCTGGGGACCCCAGCTAGGTTCTGCAAGGAACAGTCCACAGCCGGCAATGGGCTGAGGATTCGCCGGATGTAGAATCGGGAATTGGCGCCTGTCCGTTGTCGGCCGGGCAGCCCGAACAGCAGCAAGAGCTTCCGGGGGCACTGCAGGAATGGTGACTGTGACTTCCGTCTGGTACAATGTGTACTCAGGTGTTGCAACAACAAAGTACAGGCGTCGGTCCTCAGATGCCTGTTGAAGCTCATCCTGGAACCCGGTGGTATCAGTTGCAAGGGGTTCCCGATGATCGAAGGGGGCAGAGTAAGTCCAGCTGACTTGTTCCTGGTTACCATCACCGAAGGTGGGCAGATTCTCTTGCCACTGAGAGACACTATAGGAACCAGGGTCACCCAAAAGTTTGAAGTTGAGAACCCCAAGGTGCAAATCCCCAAGACACCCATAGAACGAGGAAGCAGGCAAAGGGCTGTTACCAAACGGCACTCCCTTCGGGTCAAGAGTGGCAGGGAAATTGGAGGCAACTACAACCTGAAGCTGGGTGCCCCCAAAAAGGGAAGCAATGATGCCAGGGGATAGAATGGCATGGCCCGCAGCACCATCCGTGCGTCGGGGTGAGCGGCTTCGTTCGCGACGATCTTCGGTAGCTCCATTATCCGTAGAGGACATGCTGGAATCAGAGCTTGCAGACTCTGATTCAGCCTGCTCATCTTCCCCCTCAAGTTCCTGTGATGACGACCTGTTAGGGCCAGGGGAGTTCTCAGGGAAGTCTTGCACGAACTGCACTACTAGGATACCTGCTTGCGGAACGTGGACATAAGTGCCCTCAGCGCGTAGTTCGTGCCTGCCACCCTTGATGCTGACAGCATAGCCAGACGGTGCGGCAGGTTCAAAACGAGCGCACAAAGCATCGTAGTCGAGCACACCTTGAACGGCGTGGACCCATTCTATATCCCGAAGGATCGGTCTGGCATCGATGATGACAATCTGAGGTCTGGCCTGGTCGGCCAAAGGTGCAGTATGGTGTGCTCTCTGTGTGGCTACACAGAGGGCTTTGCAAGTATGTCCAATGTGTTCGACATCCTCGATGGCCGGGTTGGATTGGTACATAATTGTGTCTGGGAGACTGTAGCCAAGGAGCTCAGCTGTGAAGCGGCGGAGCTCAGGAAGAGTGTGCGCCGGATTAGGCTCGTATGAAATGACCCGAGGCACCGAATCAGTGTGTACGAGAACTGCAGAACGAACGGGACCTGGGTACATCGGGCAAGGCGTTGCCCAGTTCCTGTCTGACCCGAGAAGTTCTTCGAAGGGATACAGTGGCCCCAGTATACGGCCTCCAAGGAGAAATGTGAGCAAACCTCCGTTCTCTGGGATTGTGTCACTACCGTATGGGAGTAATCGATCCGCTAAGAAGATGCGCAGTCTAGGGTCTTCTTCGAAAACAAAGCTGCAAGTAGGGAGGCTCGCGTGAGCCGGGTGGGTACAATGATACTGAAGAGCCTGCCGTCAACTTGCCGAAGATCGAGAAGGACATGGCATCTCTCTGCAGCCCATTCTGGTAAGGAAAGGACGCAAGCAAACCTGTTGTCCGGCTGTGGCTCGACTGGCAGGAGGGTATCGAAGTAGAGTGACTGGTCCTCATTACGCGCATCTTGGATCTCGTGCAATGCCTCTTCGGGGTCGCATGGGGCTCTCAGAACGAGAGGAAGGACTTCGGCACGATACCTGGGAGCAAAGACAAGGAAGTGCCCATGCAAAAATGTGGGGGGTGGCACCCCGACCGGACGCTCTCGCTCGTAGATGGTAGGATCGGGTGTGATGGCGTCCTCGTCGTAGCGAGCTGGCGGGAGCACGGGCCGTGCGGCATCGCCAGCTCGTTGCCAGGGAACCCCCTGGCAGCCACCCGGTGCGTGATAGGGGTTCCTTGCTGCAACTACACCAGATACCTCCTGGATACCCTCAGGTTCTTGTGGAGAGTCAGGCATGTCTTGTGGTGCGAAGTCAACATGCAGGACCCCGCCATGATGCACGACAAAGGAGTTCCCTATCTTAGGGAGACCCCAAAGGACAGGCCTAAACCCAAAGGGGGGGTGAAGGTCGAGGAATCTAACGATGTCCGGTTCCCCAACTGCAGGAGCACTGGAGAAGTACAGTGTGGGTTCCTGGCCAACGGGCCGTCGATCCAGTATGACAAGAGCTCCCGGTAGCTCAGCATGTTCAGTCTCGACAGTGCTTCGTCGGGCAGCGACGAGTCCAGCAAGGAGGGAACCTCGGTAGACATAGGCTGACATGCCTTGTCTGTCGGGACGGCATAGCCTAAGTGCTTCTGGTCTGCAATGAAGTGCCGAGGCAACATGGGCCTCCAAGCTTTCGTCGTAGGCACCTTGGTGAAAGATGGGCCTGGGGACCTGGGGCGCGACAATTAGCCATTGGTCGGAAACCTCTTCACTGACAATGCAACGGATGTCGGCAGTCAAGAAATCACGGTCTCGCAGACTGGCAGTGGAGGTGGGTTGCCAATGTGGCTGCCCATACACATCAACGAATTTCAGGGTATCCCCAGTCGTGAGGTGAATGGGTCTCGTGGAGCAGAGTGGTACGGTACAGCCGGTCTGGAAGGCATCCCAGGGCTGGCAGGTATGTCGCTCTGCATGATCGACGATTTCCGAAAAAGGAGGCCTCCGGTCAATCATGGCCGCATAGACCGGGCCACTAACTGCAGAAAAATCGAAGATCACTGTGGCGATTCCCGAATGCGCCGTCCATTGGGGCACCATCAATAGGGATATGTATCCCTCCTCAAGCTGTGGCTCCACGAAATCAACGTCTGCTGCAAAGTAGGCTCTACTAGGCCCAAGTTTAGCAACAACTGAGTGGAGCAGAGCAGCGGCTTGAACAGGGAAGGCGGCCTTGACCTGAGCAGATTGTGTGGGAAAGCCCGGGGCAAAAAGCACACATTGTATCTGAAGCTCGTCGGCAGGGTGGCTGACTGTTCCTGGCGGTGATCCAAGGTCATACTCATGTCTGTCTCTCACGGGTGGAGTGTGAGGACTGTCTTCGCCGAAGCCTGGGTAGTCTGTAGCAACTGCAGCTGCTGTAACGGCTTGTGCTGTGTCGCTGTCACCTGGCATGGACCAGACACACTGGGGTAGGGACAGCATGGACATCAGGAATAGAAGTATGTGGCCAAGCTTGCTCTGTACTCCGGAGCAGGTCCGGGTCCGGCCGGAAGCACGCCATTTCAGAACATTAGCCTTTGGCACGGCAACCTCGACAAAGGGGCGGCATATGTCAGGTCCCATGGGGGGGCATGTGGCAAGCAGGAGTTTGCCAATGGAAGTTCTGTGCAATCTGGTGGCACGACCGGCAAGGCGGGTCAAAACTGTGAGGAAGAGAAGGCCAAAGAGTGCCCAGGCAGATTGCAGTTGGTGCTCGCACCATTCGCACCAAGAGTCAAGGCACCAAAATGTCGACCGGAACTGGTCGTTGCGGGCCCTATGCGGGGCAAGAGAAATGAATGAGTGGGGTGTGCATGCCAAGGCCCTTGTCCCAGAGCAACCGATACAAGTGTTTTGCGCTCTCGGCATGCAGCACTGCGCCTCAGCAAATGGAGGCGGTGATGGCGGGGCCCTCCAAGAACCGCTGTCAAGTAGACAGTGGCTAAAGAGGGCAGAGGAGAACAAAGTGTTCAGCCGGTCGGTAGTCAAAGCCCAAGACCCCGAGTCGGCTGAGCACCACGACGTGTGGCCGGAAGTCACAGCAGGCAATGGATGACAGAACAGGAAGCAGCCCGTTGAGCCTCTAACCACAAGGGTAAAAGAAGGACTGTCAAGGGCGAAGGCATCAAGGGCAGGGTCCGGACATCCTACAAAACTGGGGTGAGACCGCAGGCTTCCACGGACTTCACTCGCAGAGGCTCCACAGTGAGGGCATTGACCGACGGAAGTGCAGGTGGGTGGAGATTTCGCCCAAGAAATCTCACACCTCCCATGCGCCACCAGTCTGCCAACACAATGGCTCCAATGCGATTGACTCCGGGAGGCCTGCCTACATGTAATCACTCCAGCTGTCCAAAGCCAGGAGAGGGTACGCCGTCGGCCTGGTTGAGCTCCTCGTCGTCGGAAACGGGAACATCCGGGGGCTTCGGCGGGAGCTCTTGCGAAGCCATTGAACTCATACCGCCTGGAGCTATGCCGAAGGGGTGCATAGCAGTGCGCCTCTTCTCCTCGAGCTTGTCTCCAAGGGACTTGGTGCTCAAAGGTCCTGTCTGTGGGGGCCGTCTTCACGTCCTGTCTCGGTGGAGCTTCGGTGGCAGGGACCCTCTGTTGATTTGGGTCTCTCTGGCCTGGATGCACTGGAGAAGTAGGGCCATGTTCTTTTCGAACCGTGTTGTCCCCCGCTGTTCCTGCAAACACATGCGTCGTCTCTGGGCAGGCTGTCTGGCTGGGCTTGTCTGTCGCTTCCGGGGCTGCAGGAGGTCCAAAGTCCGGAGGCGGCCGTGCAGCATTGGGCACTGTGCCAGGTGGAAGGCCGGAAGTCTCCTTGGCAAAGGCGGCCCTCGCGGCTTGCAGATGTTGGAAAGCAAGCGCCTCCGAGTGCCCAAGGAGCTGTTGAAGAAGCTCCGGCCTCAGTTGGCGCAGAGCATCCGCATCCGTTGACGGCTCGCTGTGCAGAGTTCGCTGTCTCGGCGATCCGGAAGAACCTGTGGCCCCATCCATGGATCGCTGAATGATCCCATCGAAATCGATTTCCATGGGCCGTTGCCAGTCTTCCTGTAGCTGGTTCCAGTCCGCTGCAGCCACACTGGCCACCTCGTTGGTCGCTGGAGCAATCTCGGCCTCCCCAAGGATAACACCTTTGACCGCAGCTCTGGCGGCCTCCTGTTGCTGGTTGGCTTCCAGGAGCTCGTTCTGGTACCATGCTAAGTCCTTCTGATGGCGGATATACTGCTGTACATAGTTGGCCTTCATGTTCTCGACAAACTGGTTCCACTGCTGAACATTCATCTCCTGGTCCGTCGTGATTTTCCGGACCCTGTTCTCTGCTTTCTTGGCCGCCGTCACTGCACGTTGAAGAGCTTGCATGGAACCCGGCGGGTGTGTGCTCGGAGATGGGCCAGTAGCAGGAGCTTTCGGGACGATTTGTGTATAGCTTGGGAAGGAAGGTGTCTGCTTCCCATCCTGCTTGCCTTGTTTCCAAGGAGCCGCCCGTGGGGAATATGCTCCACGCCATAGCGAGTAGGCTCCACCATTGTCCTTGTGCCATCCGTACTCGGACTTGTCGCCCTTGTTGGCTTTCCATGTTTTGCCCATAACAAAGCCACGGCCGCCAGAGTGGTGTTCACGGAGTAGGTTGAGGTCCGCTTGCCGCGGCCTATGTGCAGCACGTTTGGCTGCTCGCACTCTGCGTCGTGCTCTTGAGCGTTTAAGACGCTCCCGTCGGTGCCACCCGGGTGATGGCTTCAAATGAGGAGCTATCTTGTCGTGTCCAATGACACTGGGGCTACAGTGGATCCAGCCGCTGCTGGCGATCTGAGCCCTTTTTTCTTTGACTGGAAACTCAACAAAGCCGTACAACACCGAAGACCTAGGCCTTACGACAAACCCGCGACAACCGAAACCAAGCAGCCTCTCGACTATGCGGCTTCAAACACCGTCGGCAAAACAGACACCGCCAGCCGTGCCGCTGGCTTTGCGTGGGAAGCTTAGGTGGTTTTGTCATCATTTTGTTTCCGGGTAAACCCAGGACGCACCAGTCGACGCATTCGTAACGGATGAGGTCGTGATACGCCTCTGGTCCGCGGACCCCGAACAAAGAGCAACGTCCTGTTAAACCCTATAAGCCTAAGCCCTTAACCCTCTGATCCGTTTTGGTACAAGTGCAGATCTGAGCCGGGATCCTGTTACACGAAACCGCTTCACAACCTCGAAGCCGATGCGCGCAGCTGCCAGTCTTTTGGCTGCAGGTGTTTGCAGCAGGCATCTCCCCTTAATAACACTCATACTTGCGAATGCGGGGATTGACAGAAGGCTCATTCGTGAGCGAGAGATAACGGCTGCTGCTCGTTCTGCCGCAGCCAAGATAAGCAGATTGCTATGTCACTACAATAGGACATCTACACCAGAGATGCTAGTCATCTGCCTGCGAGCGAAGCCAGAGGGCTTGGGGCATCGGCCACCGCCTGGGCCGTGGTACTGGCTTAAGTTTGCCAGGACCGGAACGTTTTGCCTGAAGCCACACAGGTCACTGCAACACCAGGTCGGAGTGCAGTCTCATGCGACATGCATGAGGCTGGCAGAGCTGTCTGCGATTCACGGGTCCCGGACTGATCGCCGAATCTTCTCCGCGGTACCCAGCGCTGGGGCATGACGAACCCGAACACAAGCTCACCATCGAACCCACCAAGTCTTCACTTCCCACGCCAACCTTTGCATTTCAGGAATGAAGCCTGAGAAGACCTGTGCGTCTTGATGCAGCTCCATTTTGGGGAACCTCCATTGCAACAGCCACCGCTTGCTCTAAGCCAAGTGGCAGCACAGGGTCATTGGGCACATTTCCGGAGATCGGCGTGCCCTGCCTGCAGCTGGATTACTGGCTCGAGCCCCAGAAAGTGTCCACCCCAGCTGGGAGGAGAAGTACAGCTGCACGAGTGTCGAGCCAGAATACCGCAGGCAGCAACTGGCATGCAGGGCACGGGGCACTGTGGTGCCCAAGTGCAGCAGGGGCTGTGCACGCTGCGCGGCTGAATTGCGGTCTTAAGACCCCCATGGCCGGGTTGTGATCGTGGCCGGAAGCGGAGCCGAGAATGCAGCGATGGACAGGCCCTGTCGCAGCTGGCTGCGATTGGAAGGTTGTGCTTTCGGAGCTGCACGGCTTTGCCGACGTGGTGGACCAATCGCCTGAGTGAGTATTTTCTGAACAGCTACAAGCAATCTGGCTACAAACTTCCCTCTGAACGACCGGAAGTCTTGAAGATCAAGCCGCCCTGCTGGCAGTAGACTCAGCAGAGGGCCCAGCCCGCTGCTCCGTCGTCAGCACTTTGTGCTCCTGCAGCTGACACGGCTGTGGGGCTTTTGAATGGGTCACGATGGACCGATGCTTGGTGATGTGTGATCTGGATTTGCAAGAGGAGATGTCAGGCCATGCTGGTAGAAGAATTGCGGGCATGGGAGTGTTTAAGCAACACAGAGCTGTATGCAGCAGATTCCAAGCGCACGCGTGAACGTGGTGCTGGTACTCCGAGGACCAGGGCGGATAAGCAAGCTTGAGGTATGAAGTCGTGAGTCGACCGAACTGGCACGCAGGCCACAACATCGGCTCTGGACGGCATAATGATGCCCGGCCCGTCTAGATCCCAAGGCTACACCACGGATGTTGCAGGGGTCGGCCTCAGCTGCCCAAACGCGCACTCAAAACGAAGCAAATCCCCGATCGCCGAATCTTCTCCGCGGTACCCAGCGCAGGGGCATGACCAACCCGACAAGCTCACTATCGAACCCATGAAGTCTGCACCTCTCACGCCAACCCTGTGGCTTTCATTTCAGGGATGAAGCCAGTGCGTCTTGATGCAGCTCCATTTTGGGGAACCTCCATTGCAACAGCCACTGCTTGCTCTAAGAATCTCTAAGCCAAGTGGCAGCACAGGGTCATTGGGCACATTTCCGGAGATCGGCGTGCCCTGCCTGCAGCTGGATTACTGGCTCGAGCCCCAGAAAGTGTCCACCCCAGCTGGGAGGAGAAGTACAGCTGCACGAGTGTCGAGCCAGAATACCGCAGGCAGCAACTGGCATGCAGGGCGCGGGGCACTGTGGTGCCCAAGTGCAGCAGGGGCTGTGCACGCTGCGCGGCTGAATTGCGGTCTTAAGACCCCCATGGCCGGGTCGTGACCGTGGCCGGAAGCGGAGCCGAGAATGCAGCGATGGACAGGCCCTGTCGCAGCTAGCTGCGATTGGAAGGTTGTGCTTTCGGAGCTGCACGGCTTTGCCGACGTGGTGGACCAATCGCCTGAGTGAGTATTTTCTGAACAGCTACAAGCAATCTGGCTACAAACTTCCCTCTGAACGACCGGAAGTCTTGAAGATCAAGCCGCCCTGCTGGCAGTAGACTCAGCAGAGGGCCCAGCCCGCTGCTCCGTCGTCAACCAGCAGTTGTATGGGGCCCTGCTGAGTGTACCTGTGCTGGCATGCCTCCACGACACGAACAGTTCAGCTGTGGACGCATACTATGGACCGACGCTCGGTGACATGTGCAACCGACGATGCCTTAACGCAAGCGGAGTGCACAAGCCTCAGTCCAATCAGTC